TTTTCTGATAGCGAGGCTTCCGCGCGAGCGTTGGCTTGAGTGTGAATGTGTGCTCTTGGAGACCTGGTCACGACGACAACAGTTCCCGTTCGATACTTCCTCACAATTTACCCCGAGACACCCTCCTCAGGAGCGGCGTTCTCGGTCGAGACTTCCTCAAAATTCAGTCAAGTTGGCGAATGCCCAGCCACGATGACAAGGGCACCAGTTCGATACTTCCTGACGATTAACGCCGAGAGCCCCTGGCCAGGAAGGCCCCGGAACTCAGGAACGGCGCTCGCGCTCGAGCTTTTCTTGCGATTCAGTTACATTGGTGGAGGCCCAACGACGACGACAAGGGCTCCAGTTCGATACATCCTCGAGATGTATTCGCAGAGGCCCTTGCCAGAGAGGCCCCCGAACTCAAGAGTGGCGCTCTCGCTCGAGACTCCCTCGTCAGTCACTCAAGTTGGTGGAGGCCCAGCCGCGACGACAAGGGCTCCCGTTCGACATTTCCTCAATCTGTATTTCGAAGCCTCGTGGCCAAAGGCTGAAATTCACTGGCGGTGCCAGAGGCCCACCTGTGACGACAGGGGCTCCCGCTCGACAGGCCCTTGCAATATACTCCAACACGCCCTGGCCAGAGAGGCCCCCGAACCACAGAGACCCCAGCACGCTGCTCATTCAGGGTTCCGACGTCAAGGGTCCAAACTACGACGTCAAGGGTCCAAACTACGACGACAAGGACTCCCGCCCGATACTTCCTCGCGATTTACTTCAAGAGGCCCTGGCCAGAGAGGTCCTTCCCGAACGCGGGAACAGCGCTCTCGCTGGAGACTTCCTCGTAATTCAGTCAAGTTGGTGGAGGCGCAGCCACGATGACAAGGGCTCCCGCTCGATACGTCCTCACGAGTTACTCCGAGAAGCCCTCTCTCGTGCTCTATCCTTCTCCCTCCCCCATCCGTCCTCTCGTCCCCTGTTTTAGGGGCTGCGCTAAATGTGCGTGGCAAGTGAGGAAGATATACCCCCGAGGGGGTACGGTCGAAGACGAAATGGGCGGGTATCGAGGGTTTTGGATACACGTGTTGAGTGGCACGCGATCAAGTAGAGCGAACAGTCTCAAATGTTGTTGTCGTCGTCGTCATCGTCGTCCTCGCCCACGACCCGCCCGCGACCCATCCGCGACCCCCCCCGCGCCAACCCGCGACCCAACCGCGAACTATATACATCGGTTTGGCGAAAATTCGGCTCTTGCGGAGGGCTCGTTGTGTGATTTGTAAAATATTTGCGCCTGCGGCAGGCGTCCTCCGAGCCTCGTTGACTGCGGACGACCACGCCGCCTTCACTCTCAGCCGTCACGTGCCGCAACTACGGGGGGCATGGTGTTTGCGAGGATGCAATCAAGGTCTCACCAGAGTCACACGACATCTCAGCAAGACCCCTCGCTTTTCTGTGAACCGGAGTGATGACCCGTGTCCACTTGCGGTAAGAAATATTGTTGGCCCGTTTCGCTTAAGACATCCTCGCGATTCCATTCCCCGACAGGACCTGATCTGAGGTGGTCTGGTCCACTTCGCATGAAACATCCTGGCAACCCTAAGCTCCCAGATGCCGCGCGAGAGTCGTTCCGACCTGTCTCGCCTGACACATACTCACACTTCTGGCCTGGGATGCACATGTGGTTCGGCCTGTGTAGCCTCAGAAGTTTTCGCATTGCTGGGCTTGGAGATGCTGCGCGCGAGATGGTCTCTCTCGTGCGGCCCAGAAGAGGAGGACAAATAATGACCTCCCGACAAAGTCTGTGCCACCTGGCCGATAGCGTAGTTGCTGTAGACGAGTCCAGTCGGGGCCCATGCCAAGAAACACCCTGCTTCCCTCCAGGGTTCCCTGGGTTTCTTGGGTTGCGATGGTTCTGCGATGGAAAGCGTGACGTTCCCAACCCAAAAGTCAATGGACGTCCTGGGGTCTCATGGTTGGGTTTCTTGTGTCAGGCGATCGCAAACATGGATCAAGGGGGCGTGGATTAGCGACGGGTCCCGTTTCCATGGGAAATCGCGGATTTCCGCCGCCGAACGAGGCGGCACCGGCCGCATCTTGGGGAGAGCACCTCCCCCGGTCCACGGATTTGGCGACCTCGCGGATTGGCTTCCACTGTAGGCTGCTGGTGTGGATTGTTCCTGGCTATTTTGGCGGGGGCAGCAGGGCGCCCCAGTTGCTGGGTCGCCCAGGGCGGCTCCAGAGGGCCACGTCTCCAGGGCGGCAATCCTTTGAACATTCGGACCAGGAAGAGGAGGAAGACCGAGGAGGAGGAGGAGGAGGACGAGAAGGAGGAGGAGGTGGAGGAGGAGGAGGAGGATGAGGAAGGGGAGTAGGAGGAGAAGGAGGAACCGGAGGAGGAGGAGGAGGAGGAGGAGGAGGAGGGGAAGGAGGTAATTACAGGTTCTTGGGGGGGGGGGCAGAAAAGTTTGATGACCCCCATGGCCCACTCACGGGCACCTTTAGCAACCCCCGAACAGAGGCACCCAGAGGTGCAACGATGCCTCATGCGAAACATGCCAGACCAACTGGCGTGCAGCATCCCCGAGCCCAGAGCTGCGAGGGATGTCTCAGGCGAGGGGTCGGACGTGCTCGTGTCAGAGCTTCTCGGAACCCAGAGTTGCGAGGATGTCTCAGGCGAAGCAGGCCAAGCTTCCTCTCGAGTAGCCTCTCGGCACGCAGAGTCGCGGGAGCGTCGCTGTCGACACCGGTCGGGCCACCTCGCTCCCAACAGTCGGTGGTTTGTCCGAGTTTTTGCGGCCATGTGCGGATGACTCGCGCCCTCCTTTGGTAGGAATTGTCGGAGGTGTTGTCCCGGAATTGTCTAGTATGTGCAGGTGTGTGGCGGTGCGGAGAATCCGCACAGCGCGGAGTAGGCGCGCACCGCACTGCGCTTTCTGTGCGCGTCAAGGTTTTGACAATCCTCCTCCTGCTCCTGCTCACTACTTCGTTGTTGATTGCCAGACGCCACAGCATGAGAGGCCGCATTTCAGGGCCATGGATCAGTGCACACTCCTTTGCCATTCCATGGCCATTTGAGGTCTCATTGTTCGCGCTGAGACCTTGCCGGGTGATGGAGGCCGGGCTGGTGGGGCTGCTCCACGACGTGGGGCAGGCGCTGACCACCGCCTTCGTCGTCCGGGCCTCGGTGGCCGATTGCCCGGACTGCCGGTGCAGTCCGGCCTTGCACTGCCCTCCGCTGCAGTGCACGTGCCCCAGCGGCGAGGGCACCCTGGCAGCCGCGGCCATCCCGGGGTGCCACGGGGCTCAGCTGGCCTGGGTGGCGAGCCTCTCGCTCCTGCTGGGCGGCGTGCTCGGGGCCGCGACCGTCTCGTGGGCCGGGCGGCCTCGCTCGAGGGCGCCAGCGGGGCCCATCGCGGCGCCAGTGGAGGTGGACCGCTCGCCGGGGGGTGGCGACCTCGCGTACCTCGCGCTGGAGCAGGCGAAGGTCTTCCGCAGGTCGCCGGTTGCCGCTGCCTATTGAGGATGGCTGCTGGGCCGCTGGCTGGAGGATTCCGTCTGCCCAGGTATCGCGTAGGAGGCCCCGCTCTGTACCATGAGCGACTGGACGCATATCGTTCGGGGTACGAGATGACCCCGGACTACGACGACTACGGCGAGACCACGAATCCAGACGCGGATGTGATGGAGATCCATTTCGTGCACGGGCAGGGCGGCAGGGCTGGGGTCGTCCCGGCGAACCGAGTCTACGGGTTTTGCCGCCTGCTCACGGCGGCCGTGGTCTGGAGCGCCCTCCGCCGCGGGGCCGCGTCGGGGTATGGACCGCTGCCCGACGGGCCTTTCCTCCTCACGCTGTCCGCGTTGAACTGTGCGGGCGCGCCGGCGGGCAGCGTATCGCTGGCGGACCCGTCGATCGTGGTCCCCCCGCTGGTCGGCGTGGCCGGGAGGTGCCCCGCGCCAGCGGCCCCGGGTGAGCTGGCACTCCCTGGGGCGGCCCCGCCAGCCCCACCGGTGGCCGCGGCCACGCCGGCGCCGGCAGCCGCGGTCCCAGCCGCCGTGGCGCTCGCCCCCGGGGCGGCCGCGGCGCCAGCGGGTCGGGCGCCGGCGGAGCCAGACACCGTGGCGGCCGCGCCGCATCCGAGCGGGGAGCCCGCGCCAGGCTGGCACTGGGTGGCCGCGGAGGACGTCGACGGCTCCGTGTCCTTCGGCGCGGAGGTGGCCGTCGGGGTTCCGGGCGGAGCGACCCTCGTGGGACGCGCTGGGCGCCGCGGGCTTCTCACGCTCGCCGGCGGCGGCGGAGCCAGTGCGGTGCTGCTGCGGGACAGCGAGATCGCGTGGTTCACGCAGGAGTGCCGCGGGAGCGACGCGTGCACGCTCGAGATCCCGCCCGACGCCGGGCCATCTGGCGGCAGTTCTCGGGAGTGGCGCGAGGTGGTGCAGCTGTGCCGCGAGGAGGCCGTCCCGCGGTTTGCCGTGGCCCCGCCTAGGACGGCGCAGTGGTGCGCCAAGTTCCAGGTGAAGAAGGGGGGCCTGGCCCTCCATCAAGAGATGTGGAAGTCAAAGCGGAGGCTGAACCCGACCGACTTCAGGGTAGACATGCACGAGACCCTGTCCAAGATGATCGAGACCATGGGCTCGGCCGATCACCTGGACGTCTACAACTTGGCGAGGGCGGTGCTCGGCTACAGGAAGCTCCGGCTCGTCGAGCACTACTGGGACGACATGTGTGCGGAGCAGCAGCAGCAGCAGCACAACATGAAGATGCCCCTGGAGGAGGCCTTCGCATTCAAGGGAGGTTCGAGGTCTCCCTCGATGGTGTGCCCTGAGTTGCTCGACTTGGTGTCAAATGAGCTGGAGCTGATCCACAGCATCAAGAAGAACGCGAGGAAACTGAGGGAGGAGCAGAAGGCCAGCGAGGGCGGCCGGGACGCTCCTCCCGCTGAGTCATGATGCTGGGTCCGCCCCCGGGACTGCCTCGACCCGGGGGTGATGCAGAAGAGGTGGTGGGCGGAAGTGACGACCACATGCAGCGGTCGCTCCTGCCCTTGCCAGTCCCTGACTGGTGCCGCGCGCAGGCCGCTCCGGGCGGCAGCGGCGGTCGCACAGCGCGGCGTCGCCGCGCCAACGGGACGCTGCAGGGGGAGCTCGTGACCGAGCTCGTTGTGGCGCTCAACCAGCTGGATGCCGGCTCTGATGACCCGCCTCGCTGTGCGGGCCAGGAGCCCAACAGGATGCAGCAGCTTTGCTTGGAGCATCTCGCCGACAGCTGCGCGGCGATGGGCTCCATTCCTCCAGACTTGTCGACCGAGGTGGCCCTTCAGGAGCTCCAGGTCGGCGCTGGCTACTCCGACGGCGAGCCCGTCACGGTGGCCCCCTTCGCGCACGACCTCGTGTCTCTTCCAGCTGTGGGCGGTGCGCCTGTGCCCCTGAGCCAGCTGTTGGGGGCCGACGGTCCAGACATAGTGCGAGGGTTCATTACTTCGAAGGTTTTGCCAATTCAAAGCGCCGAGATTTTTAAGAAGGAGGCTGGCTTCGCACGCCCTTACCTGGACCCAGTGCTGCGACAGCCCGCGGCCTACCTTGCCTTCGTCGAGAGGATGAGGGACGGTGGCATGCTGGAGTTCAGGGTCGATGAGGGCGATTTTGAGGAAGTCGGACTGGCCACCGCTTGGAAGAAGGATGGTCGCCAACGCCTGGTGATCGATTGCCGGGGCAGCAACTTCAGGTTCGCGGAGCCCGACAAGACCAGCCTGGCCTCGGGGGGCAGCTTCAGCTCCATCGAGCTTGCGCCGGGCGAGGTGCTGTGGACGGCAGGGGTCGATATCGCGGACGCCTTCTACAACATGGGCCTGCCGCCGGAGCTCCGGCACCTCTTTGCGCTCCCTCGGCTTCGGGCAGCACAGCTCGGGGTACGTGAGCTGGGCGGGCGCCCAGTTCCGGGCCGCGCTTGGGCACGCCCGTGCTTGGCCGTCCTGCCCATGGGCTGGACGCACGCGCTGGATTTTTGCCAGAAAGTGCACAGAAATATCTTACTCCAGAAGGGAGGTTTCGATAGCGTTCCTGAATTGGTCGACGGTATGCCAGCACCTCACATCCAGGACGGGGCCTACACTGCTTATGTTGACAATTTCATTTCTTTTGGCGTGGATCCTGATAGGCCCGCGGCCCTCCTGAGGTCGGCCCAAGAGGCCTTGAGCAGCGCGGGGCTCCCTCTTCACGATCCTGATCTTCCCGCCTCTGTGTCTGAGCAGCTGGGTTGGGTATTCGATGGTGAGCGTGGAGCTGTGAGGCCCAAGAGCCGTCGTGCATGGAGGCTTCGTCTTGGGATCCAGGGTTTGCTTGCTCGTGGGCACGCTTCGGGACGACAAGTAGGGAAGATTGCTGGGCACTTCGCTTTCATTGCTATGTCGAGGCGCCCGCTCTTGGCCGTATTTAGTTCTGTTTATGCTTTCTCGAGGAAGTACTTCGATCGTGTGATGAAGCTGCCGCCGTCAGTCCGCCGTGAGCTTCGTTGGGCCGCCTCCCTGATCCCCCTCGCCTGGGCTGATCTCCGGGCTACCTGGTCTCCCAGGGTCTACGCGAGCGACGCTAGCGAGGAGGGGGGGGGCGTGTGCCAGAAGGAGGCCGACCTGGGAGCCATTCGCGGTGCTGGGAGATACGGGGAGAGGTGGCGATTCCGACGAGGAACTGCCTCTAGGCCTCGAGACTGCCTCTTCGAGCAGAGCGACCCGCCGTCCGCCGACGCCGCGAAGGTCGAGCCGATCGCCGATTCCGTCGTGTCGCCGAATGTGGAGCACGTCGTGTCGCCGGAGGAGGCGGTGGAGGATCCTGAGGGTAACTTGTGGAACGTCCCGGAGGTGGAGGAGAAACTGCACGGGGGAAGGTGGCAGGTCGTTTCGAGCGGAGGGTGGGCCCGGTCCGAGAAGATCATCGTCCTTGAAGGTCGGGCACTCGTTCACTCTCTGAGGCACGCACTTCGCGACTCGAAGTCTTTCGGTAAGCGTATCCTCTTCCTTTGCGATAACATGGGGCTCGTGTGTGCTATGGAGAAGGGCCGCTCCTCAGCCGGGGGGGTCCTCCGCGTCGCCCGGCAATGGGGTGCCTGGTGCCTGGCGGGCGCGGTGCAGGCCTCGGTGCGCTGGATTCCGTCTGAGCGGAACGTCGCCGATGCTCCGTCGCGCCGCCACATCCCCCTCGGGGTTTGGATCGACAACGGCGCGGCGGACTCTGCCGAGGGCATCGAGCAGTGGGCCGTCCGGGGCGCCGGGCGCAGCAGCCAGCAGGCGGATTGCCGCAGCGCCGGCCTCGAGCTCGCCGAGCTGGCCGTCCGCGAGCCTGCCGTCGGCGTGCTTCGGGGCGCCCGCCGGCCCGCACGCCCAGCGGCGAGGCGGTCCGCTGGCGGGGCGGCCCCAGCCGCGGAGGGGGCGGCACCTGAGGGCAGTCGCGGCCCAGTCGCGCCAGGTGCTGCGGACGCTGCCCCCGCCCGCGGCCCGGAGCCGCAGGATGGCGCGAGCTGCGAGGCGCGAGCAGGGAGCGGCTGCGGCTGCTCGTCGGGCAGCGCTCGGAGGCCCTGGGTCGCTGCTGCAGCGGGCGTCGGTGGCGCCGAAGACCGTGGGCCAGTACGACGGTCTGTGGCAGGACATCCTCCGCGTGTGGCTGCGGTGGCGTGCTGTGTGCTCCCTGCAGTCGGCGCCAAGCGACGACGAGACAGACTTCGTGGTCGCGAGCTGGATGGACCAGGAGATCTCGTTCGGGGAGCTGGCGCAGGGGGGCACAAAGGAGCTCGCGGCGGTGAGCTACTTCCGGACGCAGTTCGCAAGGTCGGGAGGGCTCTCCCTTCCGCGCCCGGCGCAGGCCGTGAAGGGCTGGAAGCGGCTCGCCTCTGGGCGGGCGCGGCTGCCGCTGCCCTGGGAGGTCGTCGCGCTGATCGCGCTGGAGATGCTGCTGACCGGCTTCTGGGCGATGGCGGCCTGGACGGTCGCCGCCGTCCACTGCTGCTTCCGCCCCAGCGAGCTGCAGCGGTTTATCGCCGAGATGCTCGTGCCGCCCGTGCCGGGGACCCACGTGGCGAACCGGGCGATCGTGCTGCACCCGAGCGAGGAGGAGATCAGCGGCAGGACAGGGCAGTTCGACAAGAAGGAGGGGCACGCGGGCGAGCAGCTGCAGCGGCGGCCCCTAGGCGTCCGCGCGAGGGCAGTCGAGGCAGCGGCGCGGCTGCCGATCTGCCTCGCGAGGCTTTCGCTCGCGCCTTGGCCTGCCGAGGTGCCCGCCTGGTCCAGCCGCAGGTCTTTCTAGAGTTGTTCAGCGGGCATGGCGGGCTCTCGCGGTCGCTTCGCGAGAGGGGCTTCGTCGCGCTCGAGTGGGACATCTGCCGTGGGCCCGCGTGGGACCTGTCAGCACGGAAGGCCCGGAAGCTCGTGAGAGGCTGGATCCTGGCCGGGCAGGTCTGGGGAGTCTTCATGGGTACGCCTTGCCAGACGTGGACAAGGGCCAGGGACGCAGGGCCGCTGCGGGAGCGGGGTCAAGCTGGACCAGTGCTCCCATCGCGGCTCCGATCCGACCAGCATCTGATGGGGCTTCCTGCGGTCACCCATCCTGTCGATGCGCAGGCCATTCGAATTGGTAATAATCTCGCCCGTTTCAGTTGCAGTATTTTTGAGTTGATGCACTGGCTCCAGCGCCCAGTGGCGCTGGAGAACCCTGCGCGGTCACGTCTTTGGCTGCTGCCTCGTCTCAAAAAAGCTGCTGCCTGGAGTACTAGCCAGCTCGCGTACACAGACATGCGCCAATGGGGGGCGCCATGGAAGAAGCCAGCCCGAATTTTAGGGGATCGCGTCTCTCTGCAGCCCGTGGCTCGTGAGTGCCACGGCAAGCTTTGCTCTCGCAGCAGAAGAAAGCACACATCAATTCATGGCCTCGCCAAAGGAGGCGGCTTTAAAACGAAAGCCGCTCAGCAGTATCCCCCCGCTTTGTGCGAGGCCCTCGCTCGCTGTTTCGATCACGCTCATGGCAGCTGTAAGACAATAACAATGTCCAGTCTTTTTGTTTAACGGTGAATGGTTCAGTAGTTTATCGAGATGACCAAGGATTGTTTGGCAGGTTTGCGTCATTTTGTACCCTCGTCTCAGTGTCGTGCAGCTGGCCGTCTGGCTCGCCTCCGCCCGCTGCCCAATCATCTGTGCCGGTGCACCTTCGCTGAAGTTTGCTCGGGCGTTCAGCGCCCCGATAAAAGGCGTCCTCTGGCCTCGGCAGCGGCGGCGGGAGGCATGCTCACTACTTCGTTGTTGATTGCCAGACGCCGCAGCATGAGAGGCCGCATTTCAGGGCCATGGATCAGCGCACACTCCTTTGCCATTCCATGGCCATTTGAGGTCTCATTGTTCGCGCTCCCAACCCTCCCTCCCTCGCGCGTCATTTTGTACCCTCGTCTCAGTGTCGTGCAGCTGGCCGTCTGGCTCGCCTCCGCCCGCTGCCCAATCATCTGTGCCGGTGCACCTTCGCTGAAGCTTGCTCGGGCGTTCAGCGCCCCGATAAAAGGCGTCCTCTGGCCTCGGCAGCGGCGGCGGGAGGCATCCTCCTCCTCCTCCTCCTCCTCCCCCTCCTCCTCCTCCTTTTTCCCCTCCTCCTCCTCCTCCTCCTCCCCCTCCTCCCCCCCCTCCTCCTCCCCCTCCTCTCTTCGCGGGGACGCCTTGCGACAGAAGCATTCATAGCATGAGCACCAAGACCAGGACCCTAGTGTTATGTCTGGAGTTGACACTGCAGGAGGTATATGGGGTCGCCCCGGTGCCGGGGGGGGCCAGGGAACAAGAGGCAGTGATGGAACAGGTGTGAAGCCGCAGTTGTGCTCCACAGCTCGGGGCCGTCTTCGGCAGAGCTCGAGGAGGAGAGTATTCAGGAGGGACACAAACACACAGACGCAATTCATCGTCGATCCCTCAGAAAGTATAGGAAACTATGGGAAGTGGAGGGGGAGAAGAAGACCCAGAAATTATAATAAACGATATCTGCCCCTGGGCCCTTTCAAGGCGGAGGAGAGGAGAGAACCACGAGGCGGAGGACGAGAGGGTTGAGGGGAGGAGGCGGACTGTGAGGCGCAGACACAGGCGCAGAACAAGGAGGAGGGTGCGCTGTAGGAGGAGGAGGAGGAGGAGGAGGAGGAGGAAAAGAGGGAGGAGGAAGAGAGGGAGGAGCTGAGCGAGCGGCATTTGAGGGGAGGGAGGATGTCTAGGACATGTTCGCTCGTGCGGAGGTTAGGTCTGCTGAGGAGGGTCAAGGATTGAATGGGATACGGGTGATGAGGGTTGGAGCATGGAATGTCAATACGGATGTTTGGAGGGTCGAGGATGGGATACGGGTGAAGGGGGATAGAAATGAAAAGTGGAAGACGAAGAATGGACTATGGAGCATGCAGGAGGAATGAAGACAGAGGGTGGATCTTGGATGGGGGATTTTGAGGAGTGCAGGATCAGGAGATGGGGAAGGCGGATGAAAGGGAGGAGGAGGAGGGGGGAGAGGAGCGGGGAGGAGGATGACTAGGACTGGGATGAACAGGAGGAGGAGGAGGAGGAGGAGGAGGAGGAGGACTTCATGGACGAAGGACTGGTATGATGATGAGGGGTGAGGAGGAACCTGAGAACGAGGACAACGATAATGCGAGGTGGAATCAGCGGGAGAGCCGGAGGCGGAAAGAGCGGAGGCATTTGAAGAGAAACAGCTAGATGATAAGGATGGTGAGGCGGAGGAGGCATGGGAGTGAGGTTGATGAGGGTATAATGGCGTGAGGGCGAGACGGGGTGGCATGAGGAGAGCGGGCTGAGGATGCTGATGAGGAGGGTGGCAGGAGGTCGATGAGGAGGATGAGGTGTCAGGAAGAACAGACGCACCAGCAGGAAGACCCGAGGAGGATGAGCGGGAGGAAAAGGGGGATGGATAAGGTTGATGATGCGGATAAGGAGGATAAATCTAAGAGGATGATAGTGGAGATGAGTAAGAGGGCAGGTGCTCGTGTGTGAATACGTGTGTTCGAGGGTGGCAAGCGCTGGGCGGCCCTCCAATGTCATGGAATGGAGAGCGAGGCTGGACTTTGCTCGCTGACCCGCTCTGAGCTGGATACCTCGACTCCTGCGCATACCCCTGCGAGCTACTCTGGGTTTCTTTATAAGCGTGGGGGGGTACCCCCCCGACGGGGGTCAACCTCGCCGCGTCGTCGCGTCGCGACGGGGGTCGGAGCGCCTTCGGCGCGCGGTGGCTGCCCGCGACGGGGGTCGATGTGGGGCTGTCGGCGGGGGTGACGCCCCCCCCCCCGACGCTTATCAACAGGCTTGGAGTACTGCCTTCACCCCTGCATCCCCCCCCTCCTCCTCCTCCTCCTCCTCCTCCTCCTCCTCCTCATCCTCCTCCTCCTCGTCCGCGTCCTCCTCCTCCTCCTCCTCGACCACAGCGACGGAGACGCCACGCGGGCCGCTCCCGGGCGGCCCCACGCCCACGCCCCGGCGATGGCGCTGGAGCAGCCAGAGGAGTCCTCTGCGGAGGCCGCCGCTGACGCTGCTGCTCTCGGTGTGTTCATGACGCTCCCTTCTCCATGTTCCCCCCCCCTGCGTCACAGATCCGTCCTCTTGCTCACGCCATCCTCCTCTTTCCCCTCTCCTCGTCCTCCTTCTCCTCCATTGTTCCTTCTCGTCCTCTCTCTCCTGCCTCGTTCCAGCTCTCGGCTCGCTCCTTCACCTGCTCCCACACCCCTGCTTCCTGCAGCCCTCCATTCCCTCACCCAGTCTCTCTCCTCCTCCGTCTCCTTCTCCTGTTGTTCCCAACCATCCTGTGGTGTTGGGTCCTCGTTTTGAAGAGACAGCGCCCCGCGTCACTCCTTCCTCCCGCTGCCTCCTCCCCCTCCTCCTCCTCCGCACACCCATTTCGGCACACCACTCACACGTTTCGTGGCCCCTATAGGGAGCTCCACCGAAGGTCCCAGTGGGTGTGCCCGCATGCGTCCCGCACACCCATTCCGGCACACCCCTCACACGTTTCGTGGCCCCATACGGAGCTCCACCGAAGGTCCCAGTGGGTGTGCCCGCATGCGTCCCGCACACCCATTTCGGCACACCCTTCACACGTTTCGTGGCCCCATACGGAGCTCCACCGAAGGTCCCAGTGGGTGTGCCCGCATGCGTCCCGCACACTCATTTCGGCACACCCCGCACACGTTTCGTGGCCCCATACAGGCTCCACCGAAGGCGTTCTCGCGCGCGTCGCGAGGGCTCCGCCTTGCGCTGCGCCCGCAGCCTTGTACTTTGGAGTGCGCGGGCAAAGGGAAAGGAAAAAGGAGGGGAGGATGCGGGCGCGATCCTCGTGTGGGGCGTGCCGACATGGACGTCGCGGCGCGCGGGCGTTGCCGTCGGGGTTCCCAGGGAAGCCCCCTGCAGAGGCTACGCCACACAATTCGGCACACCTTCATACGGCTCGTGGCCCCATAGGGAGCGCCACCGAAGAAGATATATACTCACAATTGCGGTACTCACAACTTGGTTGGGTCTTTCGCCAGGATAATTTGTTTCTCCTCCCTTCTCCGTCTTCTCTTTCCCATCCGTCCGTGACGCATGGAGCCTTGTCGTTGCGGAGACCCGTCGATGAGGCAGGTGGTACGGGGCCAGGTTCGGGTGCAGGGGACGAGGTGGAGCTTGCCACTGGGGCCTTCAGAGGAGCTCCCTCTGGGCCGAAACGGATAGAGAGGGGGTGCGGCAAGTTTGGTGCGCTCGCGCCAATTACGCTCATCCTGTCTCATCCTGTCTCATTGCGCCGATGTGGTTCTCAATCCGCCGAAGGGTGTCTTAGCGGACCTGGAACCCCAGGTGACCCCGACAGGTGATGAGCAATCAGACAGGACAGCTGTGCACATTGAGGGAAGGGGAGGTGGCGACTGAACAGGAGTACGAGCATGAGGAAGAGGAGGGGTGAGGAAGAGCAGCAGTAGCAGGCGCAGGGAGAGCGCAGGCAGCAAGAGGGGAAGGCGCAAGGGGGGAAATGACGCGGCGGCAACGGGGCGAGGAGAACTCATACCCATATACTCTTGGGCTCCGCCCCCCACCCCCCGGGTGGGATTGGTCCTGGTCCGAGGGCCCCGTTGCACCCCCCGTTCGCCCCCAGGTTGGATCGGGACGACGACGACGACCACGACGACGACGACTACGACGACGACGAACTTCCGTCTTATTGCACTTCGAAGAGAGGAAGGTTGGGGGAGGCGACGATGCCGATGCCGACCCCCCCCCCCAAACAGCAGAGGGCGGGGCACCACCCCATCGCACACCCACAGGGAGGGGGGGGGGTGCGAACCCATAGGCATGGGGGGGAGGGCAGCCCTTGACCATCTATGTGGCCCGTGCTTGGGCGAGAGGGCCATTCTGAACAGCCGGGGGCGAGGCGTTGACCCTGACATGAGGCCAACGTTGCAGCCAGACCACGACTTTGCCAGACAAGTGCTGTAGATCGAAGTCGCACCTAGATGCACGTAGGAAAAATGTGACATCGTGTGCGCGTGGGAACACACATACGCGGGAGAGGCGTGGCCACGACGGCGTAGTGTCAGGGGAGCGAGAGAGAGAGAGAGAGAGGGAGAGCAGATTTGGTATTCACAGTGAGTAAGTGCGGGGGCGGGGCGGGGAGCGAATGAGAGGGCACAGAAGGGAGGAGAGATGCGCCCCCGTCACGCCCGACATCCTACGCTTCTTGTTCCTTTTTTCCGGCTGCGCTTGTCCCTATCCAATCGTCCAGGCGGGCGTGGAACATTGGAACGTTATGTGTTGGAATGTGTCGTCTATCGTATCATGGCAAGAGGAACCCGACGGGTCGACCGAATGTCGGGCGGTGACCAGGCAGCGGAATGGGAGGCAGAGCGGGCGTGGTGGGCGGACTGGGATGGTGAGGGACGGGGAGGAGAGGAGCAAAACGACGGAGGCAGGAGGAGCAGGATGGAGCAGGAGGGCGGCAAGCGAAGCTGGCGGAGGAGGGCAAATAATCATTAAAGGCAGGGGAGGGGGGAGGAGGGAGAGTAGGAGGTACATGAGGAATTTGGGAGGAACAGTGAAGATTCTAGATTGCTGTTGAATCGCTCGTCCGACGTGGAGAAGCAGCGTCGCCGCTACGCGTTGGAGCAACGCATGTGGCAGCGGGCACTTGGGGTGGCAGAGAGTTTTTGCCGAGCTCTCCCGCTGTCCGACGGCACCGCCCTGTCCCGCGATCCCAGCCTGCCCCGCACAGACAGTCACCTGTGGAATAGCGCCAGCCTGCCTTGCGTGTCCCGTGTCCGGCGTGCACGGCGCCGTTCTGTGCAGCGCCGACGCCGTCGAGGGAGGGCGACATTTGCCTTGAGACAAGTTTTTGGTACATAATCGTTTTCGCGAGTGGTTTCGCAGTGCTAGTCCTGAGCGTTTTGGGTGTTCAGACGGCCGCAGCCCTAGTCAAGCGGGAGTTCACGAGCGCGGCGATATTCGAATACACAGTGGACATCTTGTTGCCGGGCGTGAGCCACAGGAGACCAGGAGCCTTAACCGGGCCAAAGAGTCCATGTAGAAATGGACCGCGCGCTATACTGCAAGTGGCAACGCGCGTTCGTGGAGAACCCTGGGGACCCATGCGGGCTCGACTGGCACCACCGAGTCTTGCTGCATCGTATCGAGGGCTCGCCGTGGATGCGAAACAACACCTCAGGGGTTGGGGGTACGTTTGGGCCTCTTGGGTTGTGCGCCGCCGTCTCTTTCCGTAGGTGTGCGGCTCAAGTGGGTGCTGCCCCAGGAGAGCCTGGGGCGGGGCGAGAGAGCTTGAGGCCTGCGAGCCGCACGCCTGCCGTTCCCGTGATCTTGGCCTGGTGTCCAGGCCAGCCGCAGGCTCATGGAGGCCATGAAGCCTGGCCGCTGCTCCCGCCATCATGTGAGCCACGAGGACGAGAGCGACGGCGGCCCCGCGCTTGGCGTGGTGCGGCGGCTGGCCACGGAGAGCGCGGGAGGCACTGCGTATGAGGTGGAGTATTTCGGCGCGATCGAGCCGTATTTTTCTTGGTGGCTCGACTCGCGCCAGAAGAAGGGCGACAAGTTGTTCCTGCACGTGTGCCGCGGGTCTGTGTCGCAGTGCGCGTACAGAGCGCGCGGGCTGGGATCCAGGTGCTGCACGCCCGCATGCTGCACCAGTTCACGGCGAACGAGGCAGCAGATTTCCACATGGAGATGCTCCGCGAGAGCGAGGATAGCCCCGCCGTCCCGCATGACGTCGCACAGGCGGCTCCGGTCGAGGTAGATGGTGGCCGCTCCGCCCGAGGCCCCCCCGCCAGCCGCAAGGCTGAGGTCCCTGCGCGCATGCGCCCGGATGCTGCGGGCCGCGAGGCCAGTGCGCTCGTCGAGATACACGACGATGACGAGGACGACGACGCGGCCTTCGAGGAGCTAGAGCGCGAGTTCCAGGCACTCGCGGGCAAGGCCGAGGACACGAAGGCGGAGGGGAAGGACAGCAACCGGGAGCGTTTCGGCAGGCTGCGCGCGAAGCTTGCGGAGGCGCGCAAGCTGGCCTCCGCTGTTCTTGGCGCCATCCCGCCGTCGGGCTCGTCGGCCAACCCCTGGGCAAGAAGCGGCAGAAGCACGGCGCGGTTGCTCCGGCGCGCATCGCGGGCCAGGCGCCGAGCGGCGCCGCGGGCAGGGCGCCGGGGGGCGGCCAGGCCGGCAAGTCGGACGCGAAGGCTGTCTTTCGAGCGTTAGCGGGGCACTTGCGCAAGAAAGAGGAAGGCGATCCTGTCGAGAGCGATGATGATCGCGCGCCAGGCGAGCGCCCCGCTGCAGCGCGGCGGCCCGCCTAGAAGAGGACAGCCGTCAAGTCGCTCGGCCGCCTCGCCGAGAAGGAGATGGAGGACATGGCCCAGCATTTGGATCACGGCGACTCGGGTTCAGATCAGTTCAAGGCGCTGGCGGTGAAGTGTCTTCTCCTCGTGCTGCGCCCAGCGCATCCCATCGCGAGCTGCAGGCGTTGTGCGAGGGCGGGATCACGCAGGGCCGCTAACAACAGGACCAAGGACGTCCAGCTGCGCGGCCTCGCCGCGCGGCCCTTGGCCCGCGACCGTCCTCTGGGGGGCCAGTTGTTGATTCCTCTGGGCCGCCGGGTGCGATCCCTGGAAGTCCGACGGCCGCTCTTCGGGGTGTTCAATGCGATCTGGGAGCAGACTGGATCTGGAAGGACGCTGTTGGCGAGAGATAGCCTAGACGAGCTGACGCGTGGCTGCCTGCTCCTGCCCCTCGCGCCCACCAACCTGGGGGCGGCGACGACTGGCGTCGCGTCGTGCTCTGATTCAGGCGAGGGCGGCGCTGGCACGTGCACGGCCGTGGGTGTGACTGAGGGAGCTCCCGGCTTCCTGGCGAGCACGGGCAACCCCGAGACTTGGGGCCACCGCGTCGCGGGCTATTCTGGCAGGCGCGTCGTCGAGTTGCCCCGGGACCTCGAGCCTAAGATCGCCGAGAACAAGCCGCGCATCCTGTCGGTCAGGGGGCGCGGGCCGCGTCGCTAGTCCGCGCTGGCTTCGTCATCGGCGGCCACTTGGGCTGGGCAGTGATATCGACGAAGGAGCCAGCCGAATCCCGCGGTCTCGCTGGCCTGGACTGATCGAGCTCGGCCCCGTTGAGGAAATTCACGATGAGCAGCTGCAGGCCATGACCATGTTCCAGGATCGAACTGCGGTCGCGGTCGTCTCAGGAGAGATGCCGTGCCGGGATGCCGGCGGCGCGAACGCTGGCCGGCAGGGCGCGCTCGCCGCTTGGAGCGGCCTGTTCACGCGGACCCCCGAGTTGGCGCGCGCCCCTGCTCGAGCCACGCGTGCGCCCGTGCATTGGATAGTGGAAACTGTTTTCTCCATGAGCGCAGGTTCTCCCGCGCCCCCCAAGGTTGGCTCGTCGGCGCGTGCAATTCTTCAGAGAACCCGCGCCCGCGTCTGCATTGGCGTTCTTGGAGGGGGGCGATCTTCAGGCTCCCTGGGGTGATCGGGAGGGCAAAGGCCATCTTCGACTTCATCAAGGCTGTCAAGGTCTCATCGGTCCCTACAGGGTCTTGGCTGCCCTCTTGGCGTCTAAGATCTCGGCGCTGGGCCCCGCCTGCGCGCCTCTCCAGCGGCGCGAAAAGACGGCGCCGCACAAGCCGGCGGGTTTAGCGACAGCGAGTTCAGAGGCCATTCGGAGATGGACCCTGGATCGCCACGCGCATCCACCATATCAGCATGAGCTCGCGCACGTGAAGGGGCTCCAAGGGGGGCGTGAGGCCAGCGCGCCCTATGGAGCGAGAGGTTCTGATGGGGTTCTCCAAGCACTACACCTCGCCCGTGGCCTGCTCGGGCTCCAGCCGCGACAGCGTCGAGACCGACCGCTGCTGCCTCCTTGGGGGCGCATTCGCTTGCTGCGCCGTGGGCTAGCTGTTTCTGAGGCTGGAACTGGAGCTCGGGCGGCCAGCTGATTGCGCGAACCTCCGCGGCATCACGCAGTGCCTCGAGGTGAAGGACCTGCCGGGCGAGTCCGTCGAGTTTTCGGAGGGCCCGATCCGAGAGTCTCCGCTGGGCCAGCAGCTAGGGCAGATTGGATATTGGCGCGCCCTTTCGGCCGAAGGCTTGGTAAAGGTCATTTAGAGATCCAGCTTCGCGGCGCTGACGACCTACTTTGTCTTTCCCCTGGCCGAGGCGGCCCGCGATCTGCACATCAACGCTCTCGAGTCGAAGGCGGTGAACGCCGCGCCGCGGCGCGGGGCTCTCGCGTCGTCGTCGCTCAGAAGCGCCGAGGCGACGCACCTGGTCGCCTCGCACCAGGGCGCCGGAGCCCGACGCCGACGCCGAGATCTTCTGGAGAAGAACGAATCATAGCCCCTTGCTGACTGCCGTCGCCCGCGTCTTCGGGCACGCCCTGCCCCGCGTCGATGGGCGCGAGCCCTGCGCGCGCTGGTGCAACGCGGGCCTTCTCTAGTTCCTCCAGTGGACTTTCCGTGATTTCCATGGGCCGCGCGCGGCCCGTGGGCCGCGCCAACCTCGCCATCCCCATGAACCCCGCAAGTCCCAGAAAGGTTGGCCACGTGGGCGCCGCGACGCGCATGGGCCCATGGCGCCGCGCGAGCCCGGGGATCCGCGCGTCCCCCATCGGCCCCTTGAGTCATCGGGGCCGCGTCGGGTGTCTGGGCCTTGCGAACCCCGCGGACCATGGCAGCCCCGCGGGCCCCGAGGTTGCCGCGGGCCCCATGGGGTGTTTTTTTTTTTGCCGCGCGAGCCCCATGGCAAGCGCGGCGAGCAACCCGTGCCACCTCGCGTTTTGCGGGCCCCGCCGGGCCGCTCTGCCACCGTAGGGAAAGGGCCCAGCGAGATCTTGGCGCCGGCGGCGGCATTTCGCCCCCGACAACACTGGGCCGCCGACGCCGGCGCCAAGGCCCCCGCTGGAGCAGCGGGTGGAGGGAGCGGAGCCTCTCTCCGACTTCTGAAGTTGGCCAGGGCCTGTGGGCCGGGGTTAAGAGAGCGCCGTGCTCTCGGGCCCCGGCAGCGCAGGGCAGCCCTGCCTCCCCGCCCCCGGCGCGGGGGGCAGGCGGTAGAATCGGAATCGTCGGGCGCCTGCCTCGGGCTTCTAGAGCGTCGGGGACGCGACCGGGGGCGGGCAGGAGGCGGGTGGGGGGAGGGGGAAAGACAATGAGGGGGGCCAAGCGGGCGGGGAGAGGGCGCGGAGGACGGCGGCGGCGGGGTGGATGTCTTGGGTCATCCGAGAGCGCCCACCATCGCATTTCGTCTGCGCTTGTCGTTGCTTGCCCCCCTCCTACGCGCTGCGCGATGTTCCCCGCCCCCGGCCCCCCCCCCCCCCCCCCGCGATTCCGAAGACTGGGAGGGGCTCGCGCTGGCCCAAGTCGCATGCTTAATTTTTAGGGAGCAAATGACTTCCTTGGCGTCGGTGTCGGCATTTTGTCCCCCCATCGCAGGAGGTAGCTTCGATCTTGGCGCGAGGTCGGAGATCCTCGGGGAAGCTCCGCGGGTTGACACGTCAGTGCTCTGCCATCTTCTGGAGCTCAGATCTCTACGTTGGCATTGGCTACATCAACGCGAAGTCGGACCCCAGTAACCGACCTGCTCGAGAGCTTGTCCGAAGAAATGGCGCCGAAACGAGTCCACTTGAGACTGCGGGGCGGCGGGCGCAGAAGTTGGCTGTGCGCGCGTTCTCAGTTCGCCAGGAGAGGCACGCGCAGGCGCTTGCGAGACCTCCAGATCACTTAGCCTACTCGTGATCGGTATGCTCGTTGCGCCAAGCGTCTTGTGCTTGGCGGCGAGCTCAGAGCGTTCGATTGTCTTCGTTGCGAGAGGTCGACGGCAAGCTCGGCGAATACATTGAGGCCTGCTGGACCGAGCTCGAGCCGCCGTGCCCCGCGGTGAACGCAGCTGCTGCGCCGCAGTGGATGATGCCGTCTTTGAAAGGCAGAACTGGAGCTTGGTTAGGACATGGGAGAGACAGTGTACGCCCTGCCGCGCTACTCCATTCACTGCCGAGATCGCCCTAGCCTTGGCTGCTGCCGCGTGGGGCCTTGGCTGGGAAGATTTGGCGACGACGTTGCTCGTCGGCCTCGAGAGTGTCATGCGAACAGGCGAGATCCTCGCACTGCGGCCACGGCATGTGCAAGTCAGAGACAAGCGCGCTGTCCTTCATATCGAGTCCTCGAAGATGGGGCTCATGACAGGCGCTTTCGAAGACGTGTGCTTGCGCGATGGAGTCAGTCGAAAACTTTCAAACCTCGATACCTGAGCCTTATGGCGGACAAGCTTCTCTGTGAGATGCCAGCGGCTGAAGATCGAAAGGAGTTGCCCCTTCTGCTCAGCTTGTTCGATTTTGACAATCGAGGCTTCGCGATGCAAATTCTCAGGCGAAGGGGGGCGCCCGCCCATTTCATTCGCCGTGCGAATGTGGAATTTACCCTCCAGCAGGGCAGGTGGAGCGGAATGAAAGTTGCCAGAGTGTGCTCGTCTCAGGCTGGCCGATGCAGTCGCCCTCGCGCTGCCCCCGAGCCCGAGGATGAGAATTCAGACAGCTGCCCTGCGCTGGAGGCAAATGTTGAAGGATCCTGATGGGCTGCGAGTAGAAAGATTGGCACCGGGGTAAGTCGCATTATTGGTGTCAGCGGGGCCCCCGGCACTCAGCGAGCGATATCGGGCTTTCCTGGCGCCGGCGCGGGCAGTGGGCGAGGAGCTCGCTGCCCGCGCCCGATGGCCGAGGAAAGGCAAGTACTCGCGGAGCGCTGGCTCTTGCCCGCGTCCTCGAGCGCGCTCGAGCCTCGCGCGCCCGAAACTGCGGGGGCGCGACGCCAGGAAAGTGAGACCCCAAACACGTGGAACAACGCCGCATGGGGTTGGGGGCACGATTGGGCCTCTCGGGCTGCGCGCCGCCCTCTCGCCCCGCACGTGCGCGGCTCCAGCCGCCCCCTGGCTGCCACCTTTAGGTCGGGCTCTCTGGAGAGGCCCTGGGGGTTCAACGCGGTAAACCGCTTTCCTGGTTGTCTGCGGGGCCCCTGGCACTCAACGAGCGACCTCGGCTTCCCTGGCGCCAGCGCGGGCAGTGGGCGAGGAGCTCGCCGCCCGCGTCTGGCGGCCGTGGAAAGGCGGGCGCTCGCGGAGCGCTGGCTCTTGCCAGGCCCCCCTGAGGCCGCGTCTTCGAGCGCGCTTGAGCCTCGCGCTTCAAAGCCTGCGGCGGCGCGACTCCAAAACATCGGGACTTCCAACGCGCGTTCGTCTGCAACTTACGACTTGACATCGCATGATTGCTCGCAGACGCGCCGCCCAACCGTTGTCGGTCAGGCTGCAGCCTCCCAGGTGACAGTGCCAATCAGCGTTGCGCGTTCGACCAGATCGACAACTTAGCGTTCCAGGGCCATCAGCGAGAGGCGCGACAGCGCGACGCCATCTTGGTGGCAGACATGGTGGACGGCGCGGGCGACGACCAAGCGCGGGCGGTGGCGGGCTCCTCGGACGCGCGGCTCGGTGCGCAGATCGATGGGGGTCTCATCGGGAATGAAGATGGGGCTGCAGTTTCGGCATCTGGCGGCATGGTCAGGCTCGATGGCGCAGAGAGGCCCGTAGAGCTGGCGGTTCGCCAAAGGCTGGACGGTTGCCCAGCCGGCCGAGCGCGCGGAGCTGGAGGTCGCAGAGCGTTAGATCCGTCGAAGTTTCGAGGTCGAGCAGGAGGGGGCTCATCTTCCACCGCTGTCGGCGACGCGGTCGAGTTCGGACGCGCGGCGCCTGCGGCGTAGCCAGAGATGGAGCAGAAGTCGTGGGCGCTCGATGGGCCGCGAGCGCGTGGAGCAGGCGTCCTACCTCGCGCCATCTGGGACGCATTCGACTCTGCGCGGCGCTCGAGGAGGGCGCGCGCGCAGAAGTCTCTGAGAGGATGGTTGCGCCTCGCCGCGGCCGCGGACCCGCATCCTGCGCGGGGCATGCGGCGCGGCGCCTCGCGAGCTTGGAGTTGGCGGTGGACCAGGGCCGATGCAGCTGGGCCAGAGCGTCTTGGACGCCGTCGACGGCGGAGTGGCGACTGCTCGCGGCGCGGCCAGGATGGCGGGATTTCGCGAGAACGCTTCGAGGTGTCAGCAGGAGAGGGCCGACGAGAGAGCGCCGCGGGAAAGCGGGGCCGACCCTGCTGGAGATGGCAGAGGAAGAGGAGCAGGAGCAGGTCAAGGAGCGTCGCCCGTGGACGGCGCAGGCCAGGGGCAGCCGCGCGTCTGAAGTTGGCGGCGCGCTGGAGCCTGGCCAGGCGCTCGGGCGCCCAGACGGGGAAGGCTGTCGCTGGACTGCGAGCGCGAGGGGCGCGGTCGCGCAGCCGCGGCGAGACGTGCCGGGCGGGGGGCCCATGGAGGCCCGTTTTCACTTTCAGGACACTCCGGCCCCGATCACCCTGATCTTTCGGGGCCGCAGGGGTCGGGCGCCCGACGACCTTGCCGCCGGCCGCGCCGGCGATCTGAAGGGGGGGGCCGCCCGCGCTTGCCCGCCCAGGCGAGCTCGACGCGGGCGTTTTTCGCGCGCGCGAGGGGCGGTGGGCGGCGGCCGCTTGAGTCGGTCACTCTCGGGGGTTCATCGCGGGGTCTTGCGAGTTACTCGCGCGCAGTCTGACGGCGCTGCAAGGTCACGCGAAGCCCCGGGGCGCCGCGGGGGCGCCCGCGCCGGTTGCAGCTGGGCGCTGTCGAACGGGGCGCGGATGATATCCCTGGGGATCCACAGGGACTATTTTTCAGATCCTGCGTTTCCAAGCGGTTCAGATCAGATCCAAGAGGTCGGATCTGATCCGCGGTTTCCCGCGAGGACAAAATAGATCCAAACTGCAAAATCTGATCCGAGCGATCAAATCTGATCTGCGCGACCAACAAGTGTGTAGTATTAGTCATATGCATGTTTTGTTCTCTATGTATATATATATGTTTATATACATACACACATATACATATATTATGTATATGTACATATATATAGATTGTGTAGTGCACAGCGTGTACATCTGTGCATACACTAATACATAGTGTGCGTGTGACATAGTGTAGGTATAGTATGTATACATGTGGTATGTTATGATACATATATATATATATAATCTAGCTGTGTTAAGTGAACATACAATTGTGCAACATATGTTAGATATTGCACTAAAGTATATGTGCGCTTTGCTGTGTAGCGTCCATACGATACCCATATGATAGTTCTCACACGCCTGGAGGCCTCTTATGAGGTCGGCGAATTCCTTATTCAGCGTAAGCCTCACACGCCTAGCGACCTCCCCAGGTCGGCGAATTCTGATCACGTGCTTGGCGGCCGTCTGAAAGGGGTCAGCGGTATTTCTTTTGACAGATACCCCTCGGTAGCTCCACCGAAAGCCTCAGCAGCACAGGCCACATGCGTCAACGGCACCCATTTCGGCACATCCCTAAGGCAGCTCCACCGATGACTCCAGTGGCACAGACCGCACGCGCAAACACCATTCATTTCAGAACACCCCTCACACGTACGGTTCCCCCGTTAGAAGACAAGAGTTGATGCGAATGTCGCCCCGTCCTCCCCCCCGCCTGTCCTCCTCCGTGCGTAGCCGTTTGGGCGCGATAGGTGCATTTCTTCGACGCTTCGACGAAGTTATGTATATATGAAGTTGTTTCACTCCATATTTATTGCGCTGGCGTGCTGGTCACACGCTCTGCGCACGATGTCTTTGAGCGAAGACCAGGAGGCTGCCAAAAAAGGTTGTTTGGATTTCCTGGACAGCTCTGCGCTGATCGCCTACAGAGACCAGTTGTGCGGACCTCGGGACACGCCGATGATTACACGCTACCAAGAGGTAATCAGACGCATACCTCATGGGATGGCCTAAAAAGCGATGGCTAGAGCAGTGGCCGCTGCAGCTCGTGAGAGGGAGAAGGATTGGAAACTCGGAGCAGAGATTGACGCATACAGCGACAAGATGGCGCACAGAATGCGCGCGCTACGGCGCGACGTCGACCAGGCAATCATAAAACACAAGGCCGCGCAGTCGGATGAGCCACCAGAGTGGCTTGTGTTTTTCTTGAATGACGCCCCGACAAGTGGTAACTCAGGAAGCTCAGCATGCCGCAACTACGAGTACAAGTTCGAGAAGGACGAGATGTTGGCTTACCGCTGCGAGATTTTATCAAGGGGCGGCCTCGGCGTCAGGCAACCGTCTTTGCCCCTAGTGAAAGACGACGCCGCAGATGTACAGATTGCGCGGTTGCGAAGTGGACGGACGGTGGGACATGGGAGATTCCATCCTTAACATACGCCGAGCTCAATCAACAAAAGCACCATGCAGCTCGAAAGGGAAGTAGATGTCATGAGCTACACAGGTACGAGTACAAGGGCACTACGTGGAGGCTGCTGGAGCAGAACGAGACCCAGAAGGACAACGTCGTCAACATGTTGCGGATCAAGATGAGGGGAGAAGGGGCCAAGGACGAGGTCGCGCGCCTTCAACTTGTGATTACACACCACGAGCCATCATCAAAGGAGGAAGCGATTGTGGCGATGAAGGGGTTTGTCGAGCAGATGGCCCGTGGAGAGATGAGTAAATCAGAGGCGGGGCAGGCCAAGAAAAAAACACGTGTTCAAACCATTGCCCAATTGTGCAGTTCTGAAGCGGCCGGCCATTGTTGCCAAACGGCCATCGGGCGTGGAGGCTCAGAACATGGACGACGCCGCCGAGGAGGACACCGAACACGCTGAGGGGGACGAGGAGGAACATACTGAGGAGGCCGAGCCCGTGGACGAGTTCTCTGACAGCGATGACATCGGTGACGGAATTGCTGCTAACCAACCAGCGGGTATGAAGCGACCCGCAGCGGCTTCGCCAGCGGGCCCAGCTGCGAAAGCAGCGAGAGCTACGTCAGCACCGACGGCTACGCCACCACCGAAGGCTACGCCACCACCGAAGGCTACTTCAGCACCGACGGCTACTTCAGCACCGACGGCTACTTCAACACCGAAGGCTACTTCAGCACCGAAGGCTACTTCGCCACCACCGAAGGCTACTTCGCCAACACCGAAGGCTACTTCAGCACCGACGGCTACGTCGCCAGCGCCGATTGCTGCGACAACGGAGGCGTTGGGAATGGAAAGGGTAGTATCCTCCTCCTCCTCCTCCTCCGCCTCCTCCCTCTTCGCCTCCTCCCCCTCCTCCTCCTGTTTCTCCTCCTCCCCTTCCTGCCCATCCTTCTCATCCACCTCCCCTCCCTCATTCTCCTCATCCTCGCCGTGTTATCCTCGCCTCCTGCCCCCCAGATCCCGCCCGAATATCGACGGCTTGTGTATTACTTATGCACTATCGGGGAAGACGCAGAGGTCGACGTCCTACTCTTCCTTCTCCTGATGTATCCCCACATCCCCATCCAGCTCCCTCGATATCGGTCGAACCGAAACCGCAGCACTTCGTCGACCACAGCTGCGACCCCCCCCCCCCCCCCCCCACACACCACCACCACCACCACCACCACCACCACCACCACCACCCCACCACCACCACCACCACCACCACCACCACCACCAACCACCCACCACCACCACCACCACCACCACCACCACCAACCACCACCACACCACCACCACCACCACCACCACCACACCACCACACACACACACACACACACACACACACACACACACACACACACACACACACGCACACACACACACACACGCGCGACATACATGGGTTCCCGGCGGCCCACGGCAAGTATCACATCGAAAAGCTGCAGTTCGAAACCGAGGTCATCCTCAGCCGTCTGCTGCTGCTGCCGCTCCTCCTCCTCCTCCTCCTCCTCATCATCATCATCATCCTCCTCCTCCTGCTCTTCATTATCCTAGTCTGCCTCCTCTGACTCCTCGCCTTTCTTCTCTTACTCTCGGTCATTCGGCTGCGAATCGAGGACATGGAACCCGCTCCCAGCATCATGCCCGAGGTCGTGTCTGACAGGCTGAGGCCAGAACAGTGCAGCTTGATGGACCCCAAAACTAAAGCGGTGTTTCGTGCCAGAATACAACGGGCCAGGGTCGATTTCATCTGCCGCTGGAGGGAGAACAGCAAGTTAAAGGACCGCCTGGTCCCACTCGCCCCCCCCCCCCCCATTTTCAAACCGATCTTAAACAGTTCCATTAAGGAAGTCTCCGAGTACATTAAGCTGAGGGCACAGCTCGACAAGAAACTCTCGTCGCACTAGGCCGCCAATCCTGCACCTCTCCCCCCGCCTGTCCATCTTTTGCCCATCATCGCCCCCCTCGAAAGGCAGAGATGTCCGACATGGACTCGCCGCCAGAGAACTTCATGAACCAACTCGATCTGAGGGGCGCCGTCCGCTAGACTCGAGGCCGTTGCCAACCAAGCGGGGGCCCAGAAAAAAAAAAACGGAACACGACTGAACGTACGGGGCAAGGCCTCGGGGAGGCCCAAGTTGGGGGCCGATGGACTGGCAGGGAGAGGAGGCCCCGAGGAGGACGGAGGAGGGACGGACGAAGGAACGAGAGGGGAGGGGGAGGGACAGGAGGGAGATGAGAGGGCGAGAGGAGGGAGAGAACGGGGAAGCGTGAGAGGATACGTTTTTTTTTTTTTTGATGACATTCGAAGCACTCAGACACGAACCAAATCAACCCCAACCCTCAGCCAGTTTCTG